ACCTTTACTATCCAAACCCAAATTATTTAAGTTTAAAATTATGTCTACTATGTTACTTTTTATTTTAGTATTAGAGTAGAAGTAAATTAATAAATAATAAAAAAAAAACAAAAAAAAACTTTGAAATGTGTAAATGGTTAATAGAGATTATAATATGATCACTGCCATCAGTAGTATTAATAATTCCTACTTTAGTGCCAACCACACATTTCAGTTTTTTTTTACTTAAATCAGATGCAGGCCAGGAAATTCATAATTTTTAGGGCAAGACCATTTGTTCTTGGATGTTCTCTCATTTTTCAAGGGCACCAAGGCCAAAAAAATTCACTGAAGGGCACTAAGGCCACAGTACACATTAATGTTGATGGAATAGAAATGAGTTTCCCAATTAGTTTAGTAAATATGACATTAATTTTTTTCACTGTGGGCTTGGGAAGCTGGCCTATCCTTCCAGATTAAGTTTATCAGGTAGGAAAGTATTAACTTTAACCAATGAGGCCTATGAAGTAACAGTACGTAAGCTTTAAGATTAAAGAACGAGGTATGATGCTGATCTAAGATGCGCTTTTGACCTTAATAACATTCGTATATTTTGCCCCTTACTGACCCCAAATGATGTTTGGCCTGAAAATCGTATACAACGGTTAGGCACCTATTTCCACTTGTTAATTTGTCTAAATTTGAGAAGGATTAAACACAATCCCTGGGAGGAGAAGCATTTTAAAGGTTTTCAAGATTTGACCTGTGGTGACCTTACAAATCATGAACAAATTTCAGGCATTTCTATCCACTTACTAATTTATCGAACTTTGATAAAGATCAGTCTTACACATAAAGAGAATAAATGTTTTATAAGATTTTTAAGTTTTGCCCCCTTCTGACTCCAAATGATGTTTGGCCTGAAAATCGTATACAACAGTTAGGCACCTATTTCCACTTATTAATTTATCGAACTTTGATAAAGATCAGTCTTACACATAAAGAGAATAAATGCTTTATAAGATTTTTAGGTTTTGCCCCCTTCTGACTCCAAATGACCTTTGAACTAAGAGTTGTATACAACTTTTATGCACCTCTATGCATTTATTATTTTAACTTTGAGAACGATCAGAAAAAATCCCTGGGAAGAGGAGAAGTTTTAAAGGCCTAATTTCTACCAACAAAATTCAACCCCAACATGTCTGAATACTTGGCCCAGACTGAGAAAAATCAGTTAATCCGTTATAGCAGCCCTTTGAAAATCTTGACAGACGGACAAGTAGAAAGAAAGACACATCGCCATGACATAAGGTCAACATTCTATTTCCAAACAATAGCACTACTAATATTTTTTCGTTTTACTGCCGATCAAAGATAAAACTTCGTTCCCTCCATCACATGCATTTTGTGTGATACATTATTTGTAACAAGGTTGTTTCTGTAGGTTATAAATCCAGTGTTTGTGATTTCCAATGGTTTTTCCTTTACTGCAGTATGCAATACACATTTAGATCATGAGGGTACGAAGGCCAAAGAGATACCGAAGGGTGATCATTGTGGTTGTGGATTTTAATGATTTTCTGAGGGCACCATGGCCATTTTGATAAATACGGCCGCAATTGTCACCATGGCCGCCGTGAATTTCCTGCCCTGTGGGTGTCTGATATTCACATGGGTAACTATACTATGTTTAATTATCTCACTGAAACCACTTGTAATATGTGACCCACCGGTGGGGTACATGGCAGCGAACATGTCAAGACCACATTATTAGGAATATGAGTGACAAAAAATCATGATGTATGCCACTAATTCATAAACTTTCCTACCCGTTTTCAGGCCTTGAAATGTAATAGTTTGAAAGGCAAAAGTTTTCTGATTTCAAAAACCAGCAGTGGTATATCTGTGAGGTTCTACCAAGTTTCTGATAATAAAACATTTATATGAATCTGGATACACTTGAAATATATATATACCGAGTTTAGATTTGGATCGGAAAACATAAGAACTTGGTATAAAGAACTATTTAAGTAAAACTTGCTGAGGAAAATTCACTTTGAAACATGGTATATAGAACCATTTAAATCCAACTTCTTGACAAAAAAGTTACTTGATAACTTTATATATGGAACCGTTTAAATTCAACTTGGTGACAAAAAATTCATATGATGAAAAGTAAACATTACTTTGAAGCATTGCACCAAAAACCATGCATGTAAATGATGAATACACAGCACAAGCTTGGCAGTTATTAAAAACCATGCATGTAAATGATAAATACGTAACACAGGCTTAGTAGTTGATGAAAACCATGCATGTAAATGATAAATATGTAACACAGGCTTGGTAGTTGATGAAAACCATGTATGTAAATGATAAATACGTAACACAGGCTTGGTAGTTGATGAAAAACATGCATGTAAATGATAGATACGTAACACAGGCTTGGCAGTTATTTATCATTTACATGCATGGTTTTCATCAACTACTAAGCCTGTGTTACGTATCTATCATTTACATACATGGTTTTGGATACGTAACACAGGCTTGGCAGTTGATGAAAACCATGTATGTAAACGATGAATATGTAACACAGGCTTAGTAGTTGATGAAAACCATGTATGTAAACAATAAATACGTAACACAAGCTTGGGAGTTATTAAAAACCATGCATGTAAATGATAAATACGTAACACAGGCTTAGTAGTTGATGAAAACCATGCATGTAAATGATAAATACGTAACACAGGCTTAGTAGTTGATGAAAACCATGCATGTAAATGATTAATACAC